GATGGGCGCAAATTGCACCATCATCGAATATTACAATCACAATATCACCGGGTTTCGCGGTGGAGTTCCAATTTTCTTCCGGTCTGCATGAATGCGGGAGGATAAGATGTCTCCGGCAGTACTCTCCCGATCAAAATGCGGGTGTCCGGAACTTCTTGCGACGGATTGATTAAGTCCTCACTCTGTCGCTACATAGGTTTTTTACGCGCTCAAGTTGATCACGATGTCTAAGATGGAATGGTTACTACAGACCCTGATTTCATCAAACAAAATCACAAAGTCATTGAGATTTAGGAGCTAATAAAATATTTATCATAACCACAACTTCCACTTGTAAATTGTAGATAGTGTAGTAATCCAGGCTATGTGGTGTGATGTTGAATAACAGCTTTAATGTGAAGACCGCGTTTAAAAATGCTTTCGTAGTCAAATAACAGCCTTTACAAAGGCTGCTCAAAATACAAGCCAAGCCTGAATTATAGAAATTTTAGAAATTTCCCTTGTAAAGGCAAGTATCAGATTACCGTGCGACAAAACTATGAAATTTGATCGTTTCACGTTCAACACGATCTAACTACATCAAGTTACAACGACCATATGACTGAATGCCTAACGTTTTAGGCTCAAACAAACTGAAATGATGGAATAGCGGCTAATATTTCTTACATTTCTTCTTGAATCATGATACACTCAGATGGGAAAATTAAGTTTGAGCCAACCCCGGAATCAGCCACTTCGCTCTGGTACTTCAAGGCTGCACATGGCTTATAAGTACTATTTAACAGCTGTGGACGTTCTTGATTCTCCCTTTGCAATGCCCAGAATCTGTGCAGGATTGCATTGCCCGTATCCGACTGCTAATGTAAGTGCATCAACTGACCCATTCAAATGCGCAATGAAGAACTGTCCTCAACCAAGAGCTGACGTAAGTCTAAAGCTAGGCTTACATCACATCCCATGCAGTCACTTGATGTTCTAAGGTTCATCTTATGCTTATTCTACTAAGACTCATTAACGCCACGGCAGATGTCATTCCTACTCCAAAGACTTTTGATGAAGCTGTGTCCATGGTAAGTTTTATGATGGTTTCTGCCAACTTTCCATGCAGTTTTCTAGGTGCATAATGGTACAGCTGATATCACCTTGAAGCATGTATTCCAAGAAAAGAAACATCGCGGAAAGGTGAGAGGCCCAAACATTCTCATCCGATGATAAGTATTTGTATAGGTAGATTTCACTTCTACAGTACGAACCTTCTACACTGGATACGTTGTCAAGGAAACTACGGAAATAGAAGTGGTCAACTATATTCTAAAGTCGTTCACTTTTGAAGTGGGTCAACATAAGTAGCTATTACAGGAAAGCTTCGCTCTCAAATGACTCAATATCCAGGTCGCTGCCGAATCTGGTAGAAGTCAAGCTATAAAAAAATTACACTTGACTGCATTGCCGCCGAAGTTCGGGTGATTTATATCCAATTACTAGCTGGCACACCCCGACCTGTGTTATCAATACAAACACTATGGTAAACTAACCATGCCCTAATTCTGTACATTATTCCGTCCCTGTCCCCTTCTATATGGCAAATCCATGCCTTCGCTATTTATCCATAAACATCATGCTCATTTACCCTTTGTGCTTGACCATTGCCATTTATACTTGTTTTCTTTTTCCATCGTATCGATGCGGCGCTTCTGTAATGGTAGTTGCTAGCTAATGCAAGTCATGGGGAACAAAGTGCATGAAAAGCTCCAGGAGAAATCGCCCTTGTGAGCGCGATACTCTTGCCTCACCTCAGTTATCCGGGAACATTAGTAGCTTCTCGCGGAGTCTCTCGAGTTAGACTTTAGCGGAGTGGAAGGCTTCTCGTGCGCGTTCCAAACGCTCCCCAAATGACATTGTTTCTTTACGGGAATTTGCAGCCGCGGAGTGATGACCGTAGGTTCTGCAATGGTAGCACGGGTTTGCCCATTTCCTGCATCTTCTGCCCCCAGTGCATACGATTAGAAGGATTTCGAAGCATATGTAGCAGCGTCGCTCCGATCAAAAATGCGCCTCCCTGATTCTGCGTCTCGGACCTAAAGGCAGAAGTCCGAATAATGCTGGCCGCGGCGTCACAGAAGGCACAGCGTAGATGCCTTTTACTTTCTCGATGGATGAATTAGTACTGGATATATCGTGGGACGCAGGTTGGACGCTCTTCCAACTCGGGATAAGCGTGCGTAAGTTTTTCATTGCTTGTTGAATTTGAGATATTGAGTGCGGATCTCTTAAATGCAACAATGATCTCTCAATCTCTTTTTCTTCTCTCGTTCACTTCTTGTGCTTCTTCTTCGCCTTCCACTAAGTCATAGAGTATCTGTAGCACGTCTTCGCTGTCATTTGGTCGTTTTCATCAATTATTAATGTTCCTCTCTCTTTCGATTTCTCCTTCTTCTGCCTCGTCCTTTTCGACTTGCTGTGGTGGTACTGCCTTTTCCTCGATCTCTTCATGATCCTCATGACTCAGAGAGTCGGCCACAACACCAGCGTTCGTCTCAGACGGCAAGTTCTCTGAAGTTCTCACAAGTTTACTTCCTTATGTAGTCTTTTGCCTTCGTGACCAGCTGTGACGTGTTATTGTTGTCCGAGTGTAGTACTCGTAGAAGCAGAACTTTTCGTTGTTTTTGACGTCAGCGCCCCTTCCCTCTCGCGAATCTTTGTTTTCTTCTTTGTTACTTGGTTGTGTTTCATTACTCATCTCGGCTGCGTTCTGTGCGGAGCCCTCCCCTGCGCGTAACATTTTGCATGTGTCTTGCACTGTTCGCAATGCGATTATGACTTGAGGAAGTGCACGAAAATCTGTTCTAGTCCTCGTCTAAGTTGATCGTTTGCGCTCTCGTTGTCCATGTTAAAAAGATACGAGTTTCTACAAAATTGTTTCTACGCTTTTTATCACTTTTTCGCATTTCTTTCGCATGCGTGACAAGCGATGACGCGCTATGTTTTTTTTTCGGAGTTGCAGTAAAGCGCAACACAAAGATAGTGAGTCGAAATGGTAAAGTGACAGTTATGAGGAACACACCAAAAACATTTGTAAGATACGTAGCCCTATTGTTTGTAGGAGTGTGTACGATATGAGTAATGCTAATGCGACAAATATGAGTGCGGCGATTATTGTTTTGTACCACGCCACATATATGCTCAAAGATGCGAAAAATCAGGCCATTCTATTTCTTCGTACACAGTGCTGTCGCTTTAGGCTAGTAAAATCTGTGACGGAATGTTTCCTACATACTTCAGAATGCCTGAGATGAAATGATTTTTCGAATTTCCACATGAGATGGAACAATTAATGAGCTGTTGTGCGGTGCTCAGATCGAAGTATAAGTTAGGCTGCGTTCATACTGATCCGGAAGTTAGGGAATAGTTCCAGCACAGCCCTCGGACTGAACGCTGTGCTGGATCTGTTCCCGAACTCTCGGATCACTATGAACACAGTCTTAGAAGTTGGGTTTGGAGGCTGCAAGTGATATTGGCAACCACTCCTGAAGCGCAATCGTGGCATCCTATCAAGGCGGCATTTTGTATCGTGCAAATGTTATCTTCAGTCCCTAAGGCTGTGGTTTTGATGCTTTTCTTTTTTGCTGAGAATCATCTCGGCCGAAACCATTGTGGTACTTTTGTTATTGTGTTGCCGTTGAAACTATTTATATACCACCGCTATTTTTATGGGTAATGATGTTGAACTTGATAAAATTCGCGTTTAACATCTTTTTTAGAATATTGACATCCTACATTGCGTTCTGCTGCCGCGCATACGCAGCTATCGACCAGAGCGCGATCAAATGAACTTGCCGTATTTCTGGAATTGCAACTAACAATAAGGTCTGGCGTGAAAAAGGAATTTTATAATATAAGGCTATATCAATGCCATTTGTTATAAAATGATCATGCAGTGATGGGATGGGAGGAAGTGAAGTTGATGTTAGAGTTATGCATGCGTAAATTTGGAAGGATAAGTAGAATATTTGAGGTTGCCGAGATGACAAAATGTTGTTTTCCTAGACGCAAACTTTCAATCGGAAATTTATCCATTTCTAGTGAAAGCATTTAAAAATTTCGTACGCATCTGAATTTTTTGGAGTAGCATAGATTCTGTAGAATAGACACCCAGAACTCGGATAAAAACAATCACAGCCCAGTTCCCCACATGTGAGCAGCCTGTTCGTCCTGGAAATCGGTTTCCTGCTTCTAGCTCGGGAAGGAGTCTTGTTGTGTTTATATCAGCACATTTCCGTCCCACACAGCTTCACATGTGGGTGCAGTGCTTGCTATACACTACTTGCGGAATCGACGATCGTATGAAAATAACGTTTCTTTCTCGCAGCACAGTCGGAGCTCTCTCCAGCCCACTTTATGTTTTCTATGTGCTAACCGTTTTTGGTTAGACGAAGCGAGCTTCTTATTGGAATGTGCTCAATTTCAAGGCTTCTTTCATTTCAATAGCGAAAGTTTCTCTCTCTTTATATTTTCGGCATATCGTAGAACGATATTTCGGGGGGCGGAAGTTTCTCACCGAGCCATATTCTCGAACCTAAGTGATGTACCTGCCACGAACATTCGGCAGGATGACAAGATATTACATTTTACCGCCTCCTTATCCTGTGTGTCTTCCGATGCCGGAACTAGGATTTCAAAGAAAGATTCAAAATCAAAGTTCAGTAGTGA